GGCCCCCACCCGTGCATCAGGCCTCAATTTTTTTGTAGTAAAAGGGTAATATTCCTCCCGGCACCGGGATCAGCGGAGCAGCGAGGCTCCCAGCACCGGGATCAGTGGAGCAGCGAGGCTTCAGGCACTGGGATCAGCGTGACAGGGGACAGTGCCCAAACCCTCTGATTCCCTGCAGCTCTTTGTGTGACAGGGGAAGGTGCCCGAACCCCCTGATCAGCCCTGCTCTGTGTGTGACAGGATGCCGTGCCCGAAGCACTCCCCCCCCCCCCATGGGCCCTGCTCTGTGTGTGACAGGGTAGAGCTATAACCTCTCCATTGGCCCTGCCCTGAGTGTGACAGTGGTGGCGCCCCAACCCCCTGATCGGCCCTGCTCTGTGGGTGATAGAGGGGGGGGCCCCAACCCCCTTTCACGGGCCTTGCTCTGTGTGTGATGGGGGAGAGCCATAACCTCCCCATTGGGCCCTGCCCTGAGTGTGAAAGGGTGCAGTGCCCCAAACCTCCTGATCCGCCCTGCTCTGTGTGTGACAAGGGGCGGTGCCCCAACTCCCCTATTGGTCCTGCTCTGTGAGTGACAGGGGGGAGCTCCTCAACCCCCTGATCGGCCCCACTCTCTGAGTGACAGGGGGGAGCTCCTCAACCCCCTGATTGGCCCTGCTCTGTGCGTGACAGGGGGGAGCTCCCCAACCCCCTGATCGACCCTGCTCTGTGTGTGACAGGGTACGGAGCCCAACCCCCCTGATTGGCCCTGCTCTGTGAGTGACAGGAGGTGGCACCGCAACCTCCCCATCGACCCTGCCTTGAGTGTGACAGGGGGCATTGCCCCAACCCCCCAATCGGCCCTACCCTGAGTGTGACTGAGGGTGGCATCGCAACCTCCCGATCCGCCCTGCTCTGTGCATGATGGGTGGGGGCGCCACAACTCTCCAATTGGCCCTGCTCTGAGCCTGACCAGGGGCTGCACCTAGGGATTGGGCCTGCCCTCTGCCACCCGGGAGCAGGCCTAAGTCAGCAGGTCGTTATCTCCCGAGGGGTCCCAGACTGTGAGAGGGCACAGACCGGGCTGAGGGACCACCCTCCCCCCCCCCCCCCCCCAGTGCAGAAATTTTTGTGCCCCCGGGCCTCTAGTAATAATAATAAAAGGGTAATATGCAAATTAGACCGGAAATCCTTCTGGACGTTCTTTTTGATGAAGCCAGGGGCTGAGGGAAGCCAGGCTGGATCCCGGATGCAGGAGCGAAGCTGGTGCAAGCAGCTGGGGGAAGTAAGGCCTATTCTTGCACAAGTTTTCATGCATCGTGCCTCCAACCTATACTAACAAATGGGCAATGTACTAATTAGACTGGATCAACCAGACATCTTCCGGTTGTGCAGTCTTCCTTGCAGACAAAGCCACAGTGGTGGGGACGAGGCAGATGTGGTTAGGGGTGATCAGACCGGCAGGTGAGCAGTTAGGCATGATCAGGCCTGCAGGTAAGGGTAGTTAGGGGCAATCAGGCAGGCAGGCAGAGTGGTTAGGGGCAATCAGGCAGGTGGGCAGGTGAGCAGTTAGGAGCCAGCTTTACTGGATTGCTAAAGGGATATCTGGCAGTCAGACATCCCTTGAGGGGACCCGGATTGGAGAGGGTACAGGCCGGGCTGAGTGACTCCCCTCCCATGAATGGATTTTGAAATCTGGACAGGCACATCCAGCTGCCAGAGGAACTGTGAGGGGAGTTAGTGAAGAAACCCACAGAAGGCTGTTGCCCTAGAGCGCCTCCTGTGGCTCTAGGTCAACATGGCCAGCTGTGGGGGAGAGATCTACTTTCCAAAGAAGGAAGGATGAGGCCAGGCCTGAGCTCTTGCCTCTGAGTCCTCCCTCACTGCATCTCACTGTGTGACTTTCCGAGAGTCATAGCTCTGCTTCATTCCATCTTCTTGTTCACACACAAATGTCTTCTTTGAACAAAGCTAACCCAGAACCATACAGAAAAGGGGCTTCTTGGAGACAATTCCTGTTTAGCTAATTTGACAAAAGCTCCCAGTTGGTTAATATTACTTATGTAAAAAAGCTGGTACTTTCATTTTTCCAAGAGCTACTATTTTATCCGGTTTTAATAATAGTGGTATTTCCACACACTCAGAAATGCCATATAGAGAAGATAGGAGACAGAAAAGCTGCCAGAATAAAGATCTTTTGCTAGTTTCAGGCTTCTAATTCATCAGTCAAATAGAAGTTAAGATTACTTTCAGAAAATAATTTCTCCCCTTTCTGTTCTTTTTGATAGGAGGAATCCTGCAATTGTAGTTTTCTCACTTGTTTTTCACAAGCTTAGTCCATGAGTATCTAATGGTACTTCCCTGTTAATATGGCAGGTGCCACAGATATTGCAGTAAATGAAATAATTTGAGGTGGGTCCTAGTAGTGTTTTACATTCATAATGATTTCATATGCTCAGTCAGTTGTTGAAATCCCTTAAATTATGTGCATTTGGGGTCAGTCTGGTTGTTAGAGTTACTAGGAAGCACAGATAGGCTTCCAGTTTTCTTGTTAGTATTAATGGCATTACTATTCGCTTAGGCACCTAGATTGGAAAACTTTTGTCATCTTTGACTTATTCCTGTCCTTCACTTGTCAGACTCAGTAAATAATTTGTTTATAAGTCTCTGAAAGGCCATTCATACCCATCTTGTACTCTTCATTTTTATTGCAACAAACCTAGTGAATATAATGCTTAGTTAACTGTCTGTCCATCTGTCCCTCCATCCATCCATCCATCCATCCATCCATCCATTTAAGCCTTGTGAATCTTATAACCTTCCTATTCAAAAAAAGATTTCAAAGACAATAAGGAGGAACACTGTAAACCTAGATTAAATGGAAACACAGTAGGCCTAAATCAATTGTTCTCAACTTTAGATGCATTAGCATCAATGGAGAACTTTTGAAAAATACTGATACTCAGAACAACTCACAGAGATTTGGCTTCCTATGGTCTAGAGCTCCCTCGGTTGTTCTAATGTGCAGCCAGGTTGGGAACTGTGGAATTGAAAATGATGGAGTAGCTGTTACTGGCCACTTGATATGAGCTGATTACAACCTTAGAATGATGTGTATGGCTACAAAGGCATAAGGGATATATGCTCTGTTAAACATATCTAATTGTCTGACAAAATATTTTCCCCCAGAGTTAAATTCAAAAAGTAACACAGTTGTGTTCCAGTAATGCAATAATAGCTACCCTTTACTAAATGGTTGCCATGTGCTAAGCATTATCAGTTAAAGGAATTGACTCTTTTAAGTCTCACCAGACACATATAATGTGAGCATATTATTTACCTAACTAGAGGCCCAGTGCACGAAATTCATGCGGGGGGGGGGGGTGCCGGGGGGGGGGGGGCCGGGGGTTTTTTCCCTCAAACCAAGCTGCACCCTCTCCAATCTGGGACATCCCTCTCACAATCCTGGACTGCTGGCTCCCAACTGCTCGCCTGCCTGTCTGCCTGATTGCCCCTAACTGCTTCTGCCTGCCAGCCTGATCACCCCCTAACCCAGGGGTGGGCAAACTTTTTGACTTGAGGGCCACAATGGGTTCTTAAACTGGACCGGATGGCTGGAACAAAAGCATGGATGGAGTGTTTGTGTGAACTAATATAAATTCAAAGTAAACATCATTACATAAAAGGGTACGGTCTTTTTTTTTTAGCTTTATTCATTTCAAACGAGCCTGATCCAGCCCGCAGGCTGTAGTTTGCCCTAACCACTCCCCTGCCAGCCTGATTGATGCCTAACTGCTCCCCTGCTGGCCTGATTGTCCTAAACTGCCCTTCCCTGTAGGCCTGGTTACCCCTAACTGCACTCCCCTGCAGGCTTGCTCACCCCTAACTGCCCTCCCCTGCAGGCCTGCTCACCGCTAACTGCCCTCCCCTGCCAGCCTGGTTGCCCCCAACTGCCCTCCCCTACTGGCTATCTTGTGGCAGCCATCTTTGGCCATATGGGGGCAGGCATCTTGTGTGTTGGAGTGATGGTCAATTTGCATATTACTCTTTTATTAGATAGGATATTTCAGATGAGGACACAGGGATGTTGATAACTTAAGTAAATTTTCAGCTTTTGGATTCAGGCTGCCTAATAGCCAATGCCAGTGCTTGACTCTGTCATAGTTTACCTTGATCAGTACTCAGAACAGAATCAGACAAAATAAGATATTTAATAAGTGTTTTTGTATTGAGATAATGATCATCTCAGATTCAGAAATGTGTTTTTGTAATGCCAACATTGATAATAATACCTCATGGTAACTTGGTGTAATGAAGTTCAAAAGGTCTGAGTATGAATGCCAGCTCTGTCGTGTAGTAATTGTGTGACCATAAGCAGGGCACTGGGAGCTAGTTTCCTCATTGTAAATGAAAAGTGGTCATAGGGAACTCAGAGTTGTTGTGAGGACTACGTCACACACCAAACAGAAACTGTCCAGCATGGTAAATGGCTCCAATAATCCCTCAGTAAATACCTATTACAGAAAATTAAAAATCTCTTATCATTTTTATTCTATTGGATTTCAACTTTTTACCATTATTTGAACCAAAAAGATAATTTTAAATTTTCTTTAAACTTTTTTGATGTTTGATGTTTTTTGCTAGTGAAAAGTTGGTAGGCATCCTATTAACAAAGAATTGTTTTGTTTTCTTTTTTGGTAATTATCTAGATCTTTAAAAGAAATAACAAAACAAGAGAAAACACTCTTAACTTTGGGCTGGAAATCAGGAGGGGGGGAGGAGAGAGAGGAAGAAGGGAAGGTAGAGAGATTCCTTAGATTGCTGATGGAAACATCACCCACAAACCCTTGATTTAGAGCCATGTTGAGGTCCTGGTGGTAGGGAAGGCCCACTTAAGGGATCCCCGCCTGTTTCAGAGTTGCACTATGAGTCTCCATGGTAGAGCGAGCTCTCTGATCAACTGGACTTTGCTGCAGGATGGGTGTGGCTGAAAGCAGACTACTGTGAATGAACCAGGAGTGTGAACATTAAGATCAAACTTTATTTCAGACAGAAACAGAATGATAAAATGGCATTCTTCTCTACTGACATTCTATCCCATCTTCTTGTCCTTCCATTCAGGGTTGCTGACAGGTTGCTGGGGTTATTGTGTGAGACGTGGAGATACTGCCCACTGGTCAAGAGGCCTCACTCTTAGATGTTGGCTGTGCCCCTGCCTCCTGAGGTCGGCCCTTGTACACGCAGGGCTTTAGTTGCTTCTGTAAGTATAGTAAAATTCTGTTAAAATGGTGTTATCATTCAACAAGAGAAGAGTGAAGCAACCAGTTGGCAAGATGAGACTTTTTCCTGACATCATTGGTTCTTTATTGAAAAGTACAGATAATATTTGAAATGGAATAAAAACTCAGAGGCTCAAATCCATCCGATAACTTGAAGTCGCAGTGGCACATGCCTCCACAAGCAACTGTAGCTGTTTAAAGCCCTGTCCTGTTTCACTAGCCAGAACACAGCAGTAATTATGAAATGCATGCTTTCCTCATATTAAAAGCAATTTAAGACCATCATATTGTTCTTTTTTTGTAAAAGTCAGCGCTCTTCAATGCCCTAGCAAAAAATGATTCGATGATAAGGTGTGGCTAGAGAGGCATTTCCTCATAAAATTTCTGAAAAAATTTTCCATCACATCTTATGATATTACTTGTCAATTATAAAAAAGATTTCCTTTTATATCACTACTCCTGCTTTCCATTGTTATCATTAAACTCAGAGCTGCTGAAAAGTAAGGATTGCTCATTCTACCATCAGCAACAAATACACAAACAGAAAACTCCTATTTCAAAGCCTTGTTGCAAAGCGTAGTTAATGAGTAAATAGAATTTGCTGACTTCTGAGAAACACTCTGATTCAGAAAGAGAATTATCAGAATCGCTTTGTGAAGTGGGAGTAACTATTTGATATGACTAGCCCGTTTGGAAACAGAAAGTCAATTAGTTTATTTCCGCCTGTCCTCCCTTTGGCCAGTCTGTCTTTCTTGTTGTCCCTCTTTGACCTCTGGTTGCTTTTATTATTATTTTTGTCCTATTAAGAAGTTCACATTCAGTCTATTGACTTTCCTTATTTTCACATGTGTTCATGGACCAGATGCCACCGTTTATTCAGAATGGCAAGAATCTTTGTATGACAGACTATGACATCCATTCTAAGGTACATATTTGTTATTAGAAAAGCAAATTGCAGTAGGCCACAAGGCACATTTGTTTGTCCATTTTCTGTGCTAGTTAAGAAAACTCGTGAAGTTCCCGGGCTACACACCAAAAAAACAAACAAATAAACAAACAAACAACAAAAAAACAACAACAACAAAAAGAAAGAAAATAAAACTCATTAGGAAGATTCAGAAAGGATTTAGAAATCGGCACACAGTTTTGTGTTGTCCATAGAAATTGATGGTGTCCCCATTGGGAGTCTCACCACTTCTCTCTAGGCTGTTTTGAAGCTTCATGGTCTTTGGTGCCTTATATCAGGGTATTTGGACAGTGGTGAAAGGGGATGATGAAGTGTTAAAGAAACACCCATGGCTGCATACATTAATAAAAAGCATCAGAGAGATCGAAATCATGAAATTATTTTGTTTCCACAATTGGATTCATTCCATTAACTGGCTTCCAGTGGCATCCAGGACACTTGCAGGAAGTTGTTTCTGGGAAATCAGTTATCAGGTTAAATGAAAGGCTATTGGGGATTTCAGGGATCCAAGAATCATCATTCTCTGTGGGAGTTGGCGGTATATTAGTCATCATAGCTGCAATGAGATCTAAGTCCCGAAATTCAGGAAAGGCAACTGCCACACCTGACAGGGCTAGGGAGGGAGGATTTTGGCCCTTCTGTCTTCTCTGGTGTCTCTGAAGATGTAGTCTTATCTTCAAAAGAACTTGTTCTCCAACCATTGTGCTTTCCATTCTGTTTTCCTTTATTTTTGTTTTTCATGGCCATGACCATGCTCATGTTTATGTCTATGGGTTAGGCCATGTTCCCTTTTATGTCCATTGCCACGGCCATGTTTTATTTGCTTTTCATAGCCCCAGCCATGATCACGAGTGGGTCCTTGTTCTTTTTCTGAATCCTTATCTTCGTCTTGAGCAGGTGCCATGGAAGTGTGGGGTGGACTTACAGTTGTTTCTTATTTTGTTTCCGCCACTTGTACTGATCAGAAAGGTGAAAGACTTGGAGGTCTTTTCAGCAATGTGGTCTAACCAGGAAATATTAAAATGAATGGATTACTGTGGAAACCACACTCTCAATGAAGAAAGAAAGGACTGAGACCTGGCAACGCTATCTTGGTTTACAATGGAGCAAGTCTTTAGCCAGGTTTTAAATGCTATGTTAATAATGCAGAAAGGATGAGAATGAATATCTTTTCTTCTTTTGATTGATTTTTTAATTTGTGGATATTTCTTAAAAATTCTCCTCTAAACTGTAGAGGTTTTTCTTCATCTTGAAAAATTGGGTGGTTGAACTACATAACACCATGGCACATTATTTATTAATTGATACTAATTCTATTAGCACAATTACAGTGTTTATACCAAAAGACCCAAAATGGCTTTATGGACTTAATATATATGCAGCATGTGCCCACAATTACTTTGTTGGGCTGAAACACATTAGGACATATTCACAAGCTTGAAAACCAGCCTTTGTATAATGTCTGTGTGAGACTACATATATACCTATACAGGGCAAAAATCTAAATCAGAAAAAAAAGATAAGAGGCAACTCCAATTGAAGATCTGGATGATTCCCACCTACATTTCACTACTGGTGAGAACAGGATGCTGGAGGCAGTGTCAGTGGTGCAAAGAGCATGGTCTTTGGAGTCAAATAAGCCAGAGCCTAGTTGTTAGCATCATGTGAACACTGATGACTCTGGTTTGACCTACACTTGCATTCGTTCACCACTAGCTTCACTTTTCTCATCTCTAAAATAGGAATAACAGCAGCACCTGCCTCAGAGAGTTGTCAAGAGAAAAATATGTGTGAAGTCCTCAGTACAGTGCCTGGGACAGAGCAAGCAATTGATCATGTTATTATCCACTCCAGGACCTCAGCATCTTTGCAATTTTTAGTGTCTCATCCTTGACAGTGGGAAAAGTCTTACAAGGTTCTCTTAAGAATTGGAAAAGATGATACAAGCTAATGCTTCTCACACTTGAATGTGGGTATGAAACTCTGAGGACCATGTTAAAATGCAGATTTGGATTCAGTTGATGTGGAGTGGGGTCTGAGATCTGTATTTCTCCCAAGTCCCTTGGATGGAGGCAGATGCCAGTGAAGCATCTCAGGCACATCTTAAAGCCCCAGAGCCAGTATTGGCTCTGCACAGCAGGGGCATCCCTTCATTAAGAGAGAGCCTCCTGAAGGATGGGACACTGACAAAGGGTGAGAAGTTGTTAGGGGACTGACTGTTGTTTTCCTTTCTAGACATAAAAAGGAGAGGTCAGCGCAGAAATGTGAGAGTTCTCTCAATTCTAAAAAGATAGTCCCCCAATTCATTTAAATAGTGGTTCATTTTCAACCCCCAAATAGGTCTTTGCAGAGCAAAATTTACCCAAGCTGACTAATTAGATACATACCTTTCCTGGTGATTGACATTTGACAGTAGTCTCGATTCTATTCTTCTTACCTACCCGATAGTAATCCTCAGCAGTGCATCTTAGCATTTCCTATCCGTGAAAACAAAAGCCAAAATAGAGAACAGTGTTATTCATGAACTACTTAAACAAGTATAAAATATCAAGTAAATATCCAGGGAATAAGTAGAGAGTTGCATGACTACTCACTCCAACTTTATTGATCTCACAACTTTCAGTCAGCTCTTTATTACTTTCCTTGGAACATGTGGTTTCCCTGGCCGTGAACTCAATAAAAGTTTTGTATCCACTCACCACCTGGAAAATTAATTAGCACAAAGTAGAACCTCCATTAATATTATATAATAAATGATATGTTTCTACCCTAAGCAATCTTAGGGGAGAATATTAAAATTTTAATTATACACTGCTCAAATGAAAGGTATACAAATAAAGTACAAATGTTTGACAACTAAACTTTTAGTTTGTATGCATGTGTAAAATATTTGGCTGTTAGGAAACAAGGCTACAATTTTTATACTTTTCTAAGTTTTATTCTTCAACAACATTCAAGCACTCAAGTTGTAATAGAATCTAAGAAGAGTAGGAAGAAAAACTTGAACATTTTCTTTAAGTATGCCTTATTGTCATGCAAAGTCCTGAATCAGAGAAATACCGAGTTAGTGTCACTATAGAAATTGTGGGTTAAATTATGTGATTAGGAAAATTCTTTGGATTTTTTAGTTTGCCTCTCTTAATTATTTTATATTAAGAAACCATTTTAATCTCTTATCAATAGTTTTTTAAAATTGATTTTTAGAGGGAGAGGAAGGAAAAGGGAAAAAGAGAAACATTGATCAGCTGCCTCTTGCATGCCCCTTACTGGGGATCAAGCTCACAACCTGGGCATGAGACCTTACTGGGAATTGAATCCACAAACTTTTGTTGCTCTGGGCATTGTTCAACCAACTAAGCCACACCGGCCAGTACTGTAGCAACAGTTTTATTCTTTATACAATGCTGTGCCTACAATGGATATTTTTTGGCCCAATTAATTTATTTTTTATATAAAAGAGGCACACTTTATTTATTTAAAAAATTAAACTCATGCTTTTTAAAAATACACTGACTTCAATAAAATCGAACATATAGCTTTTTGAAAGTAATTTCAAAATGCCATATCTTACATATCTTACACTTAAAAAATATACTTGGTAAAAATGACTTTAAATTGTGTGTTAAAAAGTTAGTTGATATGGCGAACTTCTAGTCCAAGTTATTCTAGGATCTAAATATGTGTGTACGTGTGTGTGTGTGCGTGTGTGTGTGTGTGTGTGTGTGTAAAAGAATACAGGAATATATCTGTTGACCTGGAGAGATGACTATTATTTTTATAAATGAAGTTACAGCCCTGGTTAGTGTGGCTCAGTTCATTAAGTATCATCCCATGCACCAAAAGGTCCTGAGTTTGATTCTCAGTCAGGGCACATGCCTAAGTTGTGGGTTTAATTCCAGGTGGGGAGGGGCGGGGCATGACGGAGACAGCAGATTGATGGTTCTCTTTCCTTCTCTCTTTTTCTCTCTCTAAAATCAATAAAAGCGTATTAATAAATAAAATAATGAAGTCACAGGGTGATAGTAGAATCTCGTTTGAAAAGCAAACCACAACAGTCTTCCCTTTCTCTGTGTTTTTTAAAAGCATGGAAAACGTGTGGCGGGAGGAAGAGAGCAGGAGAACGAAGTCATAGGAAGAGCTAAGCTCCCCTCTACTTTTTCTGGCATTGTTCTTCTAGGTAAACATGGTTACATTTTTAAGAAAAATTTGATACCTAACTTTTAAGACTCCAGGTGTAGGTGTAAATGGGGAGGAAGGTTCTAAGAGGATTATAGGGTCTATATTTTGGTGATTGTAAATTTTCTTGCTCATTTCAGAATATATCTTAATCCAATTTTCCATAACAATAATGTTGACCAAAGTAATGTTGCCCAAGAAACTGGACAATATGTGACACAAACCACAACTGATGGCTCAACTCTATTCAGGGTCAAGAAGAAGGAAGTAAATAGATGTAAATCTTCCATTTGAGGGCCTCAGGATGACATCTATATTGCCGTTATCAACTGGTGTCATTCTTATCAAAAGTCTTCCCTGCTCAAACCAATCCTGCTCAACCTTTGTTATTAAAGTAGAGATAACCACAGAGCAAAATAAATTCCAAATGTATTAACAATTTAAATTAAAGAATTAAGCTCAAAAGATATAAATATGTACCTATCAGGTCTCAAGATGAAGAAGGCTATTCTTAGGTGACAAGCAGAGGGAGAAAACATGTCTAAATTTGTTCATACAGAAAGGACAACTGATTCTCAAAAATCACAGCAAGCAAAGTAAAAAAATAAAACCTGGGGAAAATATGGTATAAGATTAATATTCTTATACATGTAAAGCCAAACTTGAAAAAAATGAACAAAAGACAGGAACAAATATTTCAGAAAAGAAGTTAAAATGGTCATTAAGCCAGAAACATATGACTATATTCATTAATAAACAAAGATTAAAAAAACAACAGCAATGCAAGAGAATTTTTAATCTTCCATATGTTGGCAAAGATAAAAAACAGTGGTGATACCTGGTATTGGCCACGTGTGGGAAGCATGCAGCCTCATTCACTGTTGGTAGGAATAGAACTCAAAGCAAGATGATCAAGGTCTTATGGCCAGGTGGTATGAATGTAAATTGGCATAATTGCAAGTAGTTTGGCAATTTGGCAATTTGCATCAGAAGTGTTAGACATACTATACATACGCCTTGACATTTCTAATACTTTGTTAAAAGAAAAATTCCTGAATGTGCACACACAGATCCTTGAGGTATATTCATCTGAGCAAAGACAGGGAGGAATATACACAACAGGGGGGACAGTGGCGGCAGAGGCAGGGAAAAATAAACGGCCTGTGACAGAAATCACATCATTCACACGTGCAAACGGAGAATTTAAGAAACATTTGGCATCTGAAACCAGCTTGAAATAGACATGCATCCAAATAGGACTGAATATGAAATCCAAGGCAAGACCAAATCTGTAAAATAAATCTTTGGCAAAAATTGGTCATATGGCAAATTCATCACATGGTAAATGCATTTTGAGTAACTCGGCTGCTTCCAGCAGGGGCTTCATTAAATAATCATGTCATAAATGCAAAATTGTTCTCTTTATTTTTTTTTAATTTTTTTAATATATATTTTATTGATTTTTTACAGAGAGGAAGGGAGAGAGATAGAGAGTTAGAAACATTGATGAGAGAGAAACATCGATCAGCTGCCTCCTGCACATCCCCCACTGGGGATGTGTCCGCAACCCAGGTACATGCCCTTGACCTGAATCGAACCCAGGACCCTTCAGTCCTCAGGCCGATGCTCTACCCACTGAGCCAAACCGGTTTTGGCCAAATTGTTCTCTTTAAATGTAAAAACCAGTAAAGATTCATCTTTTGTATGTAAGTTTGAGATTCTCACCATATTTCAAATTGACTTGGCAAGAGAAGGAATGTCAGTACCCTTCAATTAACAGCATTACCTCTTGTTGTTCCCCTGGCATCCTTAGCATAAACAAATATACATCATGCTTGTATGCTGATTCATTAATTTACAGAGAACTGTAAGTATATGGAGACTAGATAGTCATGTATAAAATGAGTGGTTCTTTCCTGACAGCAAACCTCTGCTATGCAATATATGGTGGAGCAGAGGGTATTCCTGCATCAAGAATAAGGGAGTTTCACAAGAAAGCAGAAATATGAAGTGAGAAGAAAAGCTGACAAACTCAATAACATTGGGGGATGTGGGTGGGTAAGAGAGCAACCAAAAAACTTGTATACCTGCATATAAGCATAACCTATGAACACAGACACTAGTGGGTGAGGGCATGTGCTGGGGGTGGGAGTGGCCTGAGAGAAGTTAATGGGGGGAAAAGGAGACATATGTACTACATTAGACTATAAAGAATTTAAATTTAAAAAAAGCATACAATGATTGGTGTACCATGTGAGTACACCACTAACATGGGAAATGTGCCCGGGAAATGAGGGAGAAAGGTTGTGGTGTCAGGGGCAGGAATAAGTGCCTGAGTAGGAGAGAGAGCAAAGTGTCAGTTTTGACTTATTTTGGTACGATTTGGTCAGGTTTCCCCTGCAGTAGTGAAACTAATACAGGAAATTAGAAGATGACAATAAACAGCATATTGTGCCATCACCTAAGGCCACCACTGTGAATAGTTGGAGGCAGTTCTTTCCTTTCAGTATTGTTTTCTGTACTTTTTATAACACACCTGACAACAAAATGTATAGTCAATTTTATGCCTCTTTTTTTCCACTGCATATTTTAACACAAGGCATTTCCCACATCAAGAACTCCTCACAAAGATACTTTAAAATTGTGCCTTGATACTCTATTTTAAGGCTATGCCAGACATTACTTGATCATTTCTATAATACTGATTGTTTTGACAGTTTACCATGTGTTCTTTTATAGTTCAAACTGCAATGAATATCATTGTCTATAAAGACTCTATTTTAAATTTCTAGAAATTCAATTACTGAGCCAAAAGTATGAATTGTTATAAATGAAGTCTCTCACAACCTGCCCCCCACCCCCCATCAGATTATGTTGGTTTGTTGAAACAGTTAGGTTCTATTTTGATTACTTTTGTTGGTTCTATTTTATTCACATTTAGGGAGGCCGGTTTTGAGGTTTATAATAAGAATCTTCCCATGAATAGATTACTCAGATGCTATTAGAGTTGGAAGAAATTTGGGATCTTCTCACCCAGCCACTCATTTTACAGGTGGGGCACAAGACTGAGTGAGTCTGAATGACAGCCCGGTGTTACCCAGGACATGAGGCCTGGTGCTCTGGTTGAACTGGGTCTCCTGACCCCACACTAGGATGCTCCTTATCTATTGACAAGGCATGGAAGGAAAGAGAAAGCCCTAGATGTACATTTGTGGGCTGGAAGGACCCTAGGCAGGGGGGAAGTGACCTGGAGGTGAGAGTGTGAAGAGAGTCTGGGTGATGATAGACTGACATGTGGCTGATCCCAAGGCACTAAGTGATGCTCCAACAAGAAACCACTCTAGAAAGGCAGAGAATAAGAGTAGCTTTTCCTTGCCCTACATTTTATTTATTATATAAATTTGCTAGAATTTATATAACACTATAAAGTTTGAGAAGATAATGTACTGACATATATTATCTCTCTATTTTTGTTCCATTTATTTATGCATTCACTGGTAGCTTCTTGTATGTGCCCTGACCGGGGATCGAACCTGCAACCTTGGCATATAGGACAATTCTCTAACCAACTGAGCTACTCCGCCAAGGCTTGACATATATTATCTTATTTGAGTCTCATCCGAGTCCTTTACAGACAGAAAATGGAATGTTCTAAAGACTTGTCCAAGATCACATAGCAAGAACGTAGTGAGGTTGAGACTTGACATTCAATTCCTTTTACCAGGTATACTATTTCCCAACCCAAGATCAGTGGCAATATTAGTAAGCAGTTTGCACGTAGACTATAATATCACTATTTTTGTAGCTTAATTTACAGACCTGGAATGATGCTCTGTGCACAGTGTCAATCTTGAAATAGAAAGTTGCATTATTCTCTGCATTAAGCTTTGTAATGGAATGATTCAGATCCTCCTTCAGATCAGGGCTGTCGACAAGTATCTCTACGGGGCAGCCAGGGCAACCTGTCATGGAATTCTCTCCTGAAAGAAGAAGCAGGTTTAAGTCAGTGTGTGTACTGAAGGAGCTGTCTAGCCAATACCTGTCCTGCACATTGTTCAGCACTCATTTATATGGGGGGCCATGTGCAGCCTAAGGCCAGTAGTGAGTGAGTAGAGGTTGTCTGTGTGACCTTCACCTTACTGCCTGCCCTCTTTTCCTCTCCTCAGAGTCAAGGGTATTTAGGGAACCCTTCCATCAGAAGGAGTTAGTTAGTTCACCTTCAATATCAATGTGCTGCACTGTTCCTAAGTTTTTGCATTTTTCAAAGAAAGTGTAAGGAAGAAACCCTTAATTTAATGGAATGATTCTCTAGTGGGAAAATTATAGTCCTTTGATTCTGGTGAGCAGGGAGCTTCAATGATGCTTCTCGCTTTGGAATGTATGCAAATATCTTCCAAGAATGAGTAAAGTCAACTCTTGGTATAAGAAACACTGGCTTGCCGAAACTGGTTTGGCTCAGCGGATGGAGCGTCGGCCTGCGGACTGAAAGGTCCCAGGTTCGATTCCGGTCAAGGCCATGTATCTTGGTTGCGGGCACATCCCCAGTGGGAGATGTGCAGGAGGCAGCTGATCAATGTTTCTCTCTCATCGATGTTTCTGACTCTCTATCTCTCTCCCTTCCTCTCTGTAAAAAATCAATAAAATATATTTAAAAAAAAGAAACACTGGCTTGACCATAAACTTGCACTATCTCGCTTTCCCCCATTATGATATGCAGGGGGAAAAAGTATTAAATTGAAAGAATTTTATTCTGAGGGATTTAATTGGAGATAAAGCTTCCCCAATTTATAACACTTGATGTAGTGACATCTTATACACAAGGAAAACCAGCTGACATTGCATCTGGAGATCAGCTTTGCCCAAAGAACATAAGTCTTTCCTTCTGTCACAATATTCCCTCTGTCCACTTGCAGAGCAGTCCCAACTGCATCAGCTATAGCACAGCAGAAATGGGGTACAGCAGTAAGGGTTGTGGATTATATCATGGGACCTAAAGCACAATTCCTATAAAAACACCTAGCCAGTTGTCTGGGATCAACATGTACTACTAGAGGACAAACATGTATTATCGCATACCTGATAAAATCTGACACTTCTGTGAGAAGGAAGCAATTCTTTGCTGAGGATCCATGTATGCATGATCTGTACATTCACCGGTATCCTAGTTTTTCAAAAGAAAATAAGTTAAAAACGTTCTTAAGAACTTTTAAAGTAAACAATTAATAACATTAAATATAGGATGTTGACTTCACATAGAAAACAAAACAAAACATAATTCCATTGCCAAACAGAGAATAAGAAACTATTAGGTATTAGCATTAACAACAATAAATGTATTTACACAAACACATGAAATAAGATGACAAGAATACCTAGTATAGAAATAATAATCATATAGGCCAGCAAGCATGGCTCAGTGGTTTAGCATCAACCTATGAACCAGGAGGTCATGGTTCTATTCCCAGTCAGGGCGTATGTCAAGGTAGCATGCTTGAACCCTAGTGTGCATGTGCAAGAGGCAGCTGATCAATGGTTCTCTCACTCATTGATGTTTCTATCTCTTTGCCCCTTCCCTTCCTCTCTGAAATTGATAAAAATATATTTAACAAATAAAATATATGAATGGGTAAAATTTCTTTTAGAAGGACGACGAATTCCAGACCAGCCCATTTGACTCAGTGGTTGAACATCAACACAGGAACCAAGAGATCACATTTAGATTCCTGGTCAGGGCACATGCCTGGGTTGTGGGCTGGATGCCCAGAGTGGGGTGTGCATAATGCAGCTGATCAATGATATTCCTCTCTCATTGATATTTCTATCTCTCTATCACTCTCCCATGCTCTCTTCCTAAAAATCAATAAAAACATTTCTAAAAACAGAAAGGCAAAGACTTCCATATTAAGTTAAAAACAAAATTAATGTATTACATTTTCAAGGATAATATCTTGTAATATAAAAGATAAAGGTAGATTAAACATAATGGATGATCAAAACTATATGAAGCGCCCTAATCGGTTTGGCTCAGTTGATAGAGCATCAGCCTGCGGACTGAAAGGTCCCAGGTTCGATTCCTGTCAAGGGCATGTACCTTGGTTGCAGGCACATCCCCAGTAGTGGGTGTGCAGGAGGCAGCTGATTGATGTTTCTCTCTCATTGATTTTTCTAACTCTCTATCCCTACCCCTTTCTCTCTGTAAAAAATCAATAAAATATATTTTTTAAAAAAGTATCTAGAGTATTATTAATATTGGACAAAGGAAACAAAAAACTCATGATGGTAGTAAAGAAGATAATTTTATTTTTATAAAGATATAGTCTAGAAGCATGGAGTGAAAATACATGAAGTAGAAATTAGATATATATGTATAGAAATAGATTAAAATAATGGTGGTGGAGAAATTTTATGTACAACTTAAATTTAAGATAGATCAAATGGATTTAAAAATAAATAAAATAATAGAAAATGAATAAAATAATAAAAAAGTATTTAGGTGGTATTTTCATATGATCCATATGACTTAAAGGATATTTTTATAAGTATGGCACAGATATTTTTAAGTGCTTTTACATTAGGTTACACGAACGGCTCAATAAATTTCTAAAATGAAACAATACTGGCATGTCATTTGATCTCAGCACCAAAAGAAAAGAATTCCTAAAAATACATTTAAAAAAATAAACAAGAAACTAACTACTTGGAAATTTAAACACATTTACCTAAATAGTCAGGGTCTTCTTTGGATAAGGAAAAATATAAGAAACAAACTAAGAAAACTGAGAATTTTATATAATGTTGACAGAGCAGCATTTGGAATTAAACTCATGGCTTTATATACTTTCGTAATTTAAAAAGAGAGAGGCAAGAAACAAACAAAACAACCTCAAACTGAGGTGTTTACATCAGAAAGTTAGAAAAAGAAAAAGAATAATAAATAGCCTTAAGCAAAACAAAAAAGGAGGAAACAATAAAGCAAAACTGATGAACTAGAAAGCAGAAAGCATTAGCATTAGTAAATAAATCCAAATGCTCATTCTTGGAATAAGGAAAAAATCAAATGCAAAAAAATAAAAAAGGCATTATAGCAAAGGAACAAAGAAGCTAAAAATATAAGAGAATAATTATGAACAAGTGTATGTTACTTTAAATCCCAAAGAAATGAATACTTTTCTGGAAAACTATAAATAACCAACGCTGACTTAAACACAAGAACAAATTTGAATGGACCAATAACTGAAGAACAGAGAATGCTATCAATACTCTCAACTTCCATTCCATTTCTCACCTCCAAACAACATAGATGTTTTATAGATGAATAATTTTTGTAATTGAAGAAACATTTAGTTCCTTCCTATGTAAACTGTTTCTGAATATAGGAAATAGTGGCAAACTACCCAAGTAAAAAAATAGTGGCTAACCAACTAACTAAAAAAATAGAAGGCAGCAGGGAAAGTGGAAGACCAAATATGACATGGACTGACTCCATAAAAGAAGCCATAGAAATGAGTCTATAGGTGCTCAGCAGAGCTGTTGCGGTCAAGACAGTGTGGCCATCACTCATTCATAGGGTCACCAGGGGTCAGAGCTGACTCAACTGCATGTAACACATATTCGACTCATTCTAGAAAACTATAATCTGGATGCCAAAACCTGAAAAAATAGAATGCACACACAACCACACCCAGAAAACTGTCAAACCACTTTCACTTAGGATTAAAGATGTAGAGTTCTTAAACTAAAAATAAAATCCAAATGCATATTTAAAGAATAATTAACACTAAGCAAAGAGAATTTATGAACTTAGAGGTAACTATTAGGAAAGTTGTAAAAACATAACAGATTAAATTAGAAATGAACAACATGATGTTTCAATACATATTTAAAGCATTTGCTAAATTCTAACACAAATTGCTCTTTTTTCTTAAATGAAAAATATTTGTTGGGGTGACATTGGTTAATTATATAGGTTTCAAGTGTACAATTCTATAATATATCACCTCTATATTGTATTGAGTGTTTACTACCCAAAGTCAAGTCTCCTTCTGTCATCACTTATCCACCCTTTATCTTCGTCTACTTTCCCCCATCCCCTTTCTCTTTGGTAATCAGTGTCTGTGAGTTTTTGGGGTTTTGTTTTTTTGCTTAATTCTTTCATCTTTCTCACCTAACTCCACAACTTGTCTCCCCTCTGACAGCTGTCAGTCTGTTCTCTGTATCTATGAGTCTGTTAACACCAATTTCTTATTTAAAAACAAAACAAACTTCTTTAAAAGCAGGAATGCAAGGATGCTTCTTTAATATGACAAGAATGCCTGGAACCCATAGCAAATATTATAAATAACAAATTGTAGAGGCTTTCCCAATAAAATCAGGAATGAAACATAAATGTATGTGGAATATCTCTGGAAGTTAGGTCAATTCACTGAGACACAGAACAAAACATAAGCATTGGAAAAGAAGAGATAGAATAATATCTTATTTTACACCTAGAATAAACAAAATAATGAATACAAAGGCATTAGAGCTCATCAGAGCTCACTCGCTGAATATAATGTAAATATATCTAAACTGATACATTCATACAAAAATAATATTAAAAAGAATAAAAGAAAATGAAAAGCAAAATTTTCTTCAGAGCAATAATCAAAAATAAACAAACAAAAAAATACCCCTACAAAACCTAGAAATAACTTTAGTGAGCAATGTTCTGGATATATAAATAAAATCACAAAACTTTTAGAAGTTTAAAATAAAACTTGAATAAATATAGATGTATGCCAAGTTCTTGACTGAAAAGACAAAATGTAGTACATACATCAATTCTTCTTAAATTAATTTAAATATATTTTTATTGATTCCAGAGAGGAAGGGAGAGGGAGAGAGAGATAGGAACATCAATGATGAGAGAGACTCATTGATTGCCTTCCTCCTGCACACCCTCTACTGGGGATCGAACCCACAACCTGAGCATGTGCCCTTGACCAGAATTGAACCCAAAACTCTTCAGTCCACAGTGCAATGCTCTATCCATGAGCCAAACTGGATTAATAAATTTAGAAATGCAATGCAATTCCAACCTATATGACAACGTAAGTTTTTCTTACAAATTATTCTAAGGTTGGTTTTGAAGTTATAAACACTAGAATAATAAATCACAAATTTAAACCTACTGTTAAAACATGGCAGTACAATTATAGATAACAAGTTTTTCATAAGAAACTATTATGGAATTAAGGTTGTCACAAATTTATGTGTAAAAGAGGAATGTTGAAATATCTGGTTATCCTCTTTAAAAAAGCCTCAATTTAGAGACCTCAAAAGATACATTAAAATTAATTCCAGATAGGTTCAAAAGCTATATTTAAAAATACTGACTAGACCAGTGGTTCTCAACCTGTGGGTCGCGACCCCTTTGGGGGTCGAACGACCTTTTCACAAGGGTCACTTAAATACATCTTGCATATCAGATATTTACATTATAATTCATAACATAGAAAAATTACAGTTATGAAGCAGCAAGGAAAATAATTCTATGGTTAAGGGTCACCACAACAAGAGGAACTGTATTAAATGGTCGTGGCATTAAGAAGGTTGAGAACCACTGGACTAGACAAACTAGGGAAAAAAGATGACTACTGAGTGAATAGTGGAAAAATTCAAAAGGAACATGTTAGTAGATTTGGTCACCAATAAGCAAAATCTATTGGTAAGTCAGAATATCACCATGAAAACTAAAAAATGAACAATTGAGAAAATATGACAAAATACTGATACCTTTAATATACAAATACTTTTTTTCAAATATTAAGATTTATCCCAAAGAGAAATGGACAAAGGATATGGAAAACAATTCATAAATTCAATCCATAAATTTCTAACAAATTTCTATTTATGAAAATAAGAATATATACTAAACACAGAAATAGCTTTATTTTCAAGAATGTTTGGTGAGTTATTAATGATAATAAAAATGGAAACAACTCAAATGTCTAACTATAGAAAAGTAATTAAAAAAACAATCTATCATATCTATAATAGGATATTATTCAGTTATTTAAAAGAAAGTTTATCAAGAGTTTTAATGACATAGGAAAATTCTTAGGTGAAAAAATGCAGCATGTAACCCAGCCAGCATGGCTCAGTGGTTGAGCATTGACCTAT